TACTGTCTAGTGAGATGCACAGGACTTAATATACGCTATGCAGTAACTGAAACAAGCAGAAAGCTCCAGTAGGGCACAGAAGTTCACCCAAGAATGAGAAGTAAAGGGTAAACTACAGCCAGAAGTTTAGTCCAGGAGTTGGACTGAGACATTCCAGGCAGAAGAATCAGCATATGTCCAGATGCAGGGGTGTGAATTCAGTACACAAGAGCCTGTCTGGATAACCAAAAATTTTCACTGTGTGAACATAAAAGTGTACACACAGGCAGAGGAGATAGGCCTTCAACTGCCAGGTAGGTACCATCTCATAAAGGGCATGAGATTTTATTCTACAAGTAAATTTTATGCAGAGGAATGGCACAATCATTCATGTTTCGAGAAAGGTAAATGGTAAAAGAATGGAAAGTAAATTTAAAAAAAAGTAATACAGAGATTGAAACTAGTAAGGAAGCCATTATACTTTATTACACAGAGCGAGATAATGACAGCCTGAAGTTAAACTTGAAAATAGTGGAAATAAGAGTAAAACAACCAATTTAAACAAATATGTACTCAGAAAGTAAAATGTGACAGGCATCCTAAGTTTCCAGTGACTGCCATTTTCCAAATACCTGCCTTCCTTACCTACAAGTCACTGGACAGGGGAGAATAGCCAGATACCCACTTACTCTGCTTTGGCAGTTATGTGGGAGCTAATTCTGGGGCATCTCTAAGAAAGTAGGGTGGCTCTGGCAATGTTTTTCCTTTCTGTGAAAGGACACAGGTGCCTGTGAAGAAAGTCCTCGCCCTCTTTGCCTTCTTTTACATCCTGAAGGAGAATACCATGTTTAGTGCTATGGTAGTAACTTTACAGTACAGAAGACAAAAACGACCAAAGGCAACAACAAGCTGAACACAGGAGTGTACGAGAGTGGGAAAATCTCAGGGATTTTTTGGTGGTACTGGAGATTGAACCCAGGGCCTTTCACACTGAGCTACATTGCCAGCCAGCCCTTTTCAAAAAATTATAAAGACAGCATCTCACCAAATTACTAAGTTGCCCAGGCTGGGGTCAAACCTGTAACCCTCCTGCCTCAGCCTTCTGAAAACCTTGATTTTTGATGACATGACTCAGCTGTTGAGCTAACCCAGGACTAAGTACCCTTTCAATTTAGGCCACTGACGGTCAAGTTTTGTTATTTTCAGATGGATCAACCACAATGAAACACAGACCAGACTTGGTGACTGACTGTGAAGGGTTTGTGATGAAAAGGAATTCAGATTTACTCCCAAGTTTCTGGTCTGGATTACTGAGTAAAAGAAAGTACTAGTTACCAAGATAAAATTATAACAAAAGTGGCGGTGTTTGGGGGTCAATAGAAGAGTGTGATGTATGGAGAGGCGGAAGAGGTTTGTTCCTGGACATGATTCTGAGACATTATGAACCCACTGAAGTAAAGAGTATATTTAGATGTGTAGGTCTGAAACTTGTTCAGAAACTCTAAATTAGATCTATAGATGTCTGTGAGAAAGGCAGGGCAAAAGAATGGAGTCCAGGCAAAAATGCTTAAATCTGAAGGGTCCTAAAGAGTATTTCTTCAAGATTCTGAAGATGTGTAGATACTAACAACACGAAGAACCTTGTTTATAGAATAAATCTACAAACACTATCAAATACCTTCCTATTTTACAGGTATTAGTAGTCACGATATTAAAAAGAAAATCCAGATCAATGAAAAAGGAAAACTTTCTGCTAAAGTGACTACACCAGAGATTTCTCCCCATGCTTGAAACTAATCGGAATCAACTTGCTACATATGCTAGTGAATTAGAAATATGTGAATAACCGCATTTCCAAGACCCAGAAAATAACTACAGGACATGTTTTATTGGAGGCAGACTGCCCCAAGTACACAGAGGAGCATAACCACTGAGAAGAGAGCATGTAATAATTTAGCAGCACTGTGCATGATTAAGTAACCTTTTGAGGATGACACTATTCTTCCAGGAGAAGTTAATATAGCTGCCCTTGATAAAACTATTTACGAATACGTAGCAGTTACAGAACAAGAGGAATGATCCACACAGCTCCCCCAATCTAGTAAATAGGAAAAATACAGGTAGAGTGGAAGCAGGTGACAATCTGACAAAGAGACACAAGGATACACAGCAATAGGTATAACATACCACTGTCACAACAAACCAATGGTTGATTTTTATATTAAGTTTGGACAAGACAGCTCATATACTAAGCCTGTAGAAAACAGCAAGCCTCAAAGGCATCTAACAGGAATAAGAATTATAACCAAAGATAAAAGGAATTCATCCTTGGCATCAAAGCAAAACCATTATCAAAAGTTAAAACTGATTTGAGAAAAATGAATATGAAAGACGAAAACGTATACCTCAACCCACTGGTCTTCCTCCTAAATTACAGTGTAACTGATCACACTGATCCCTTCCACAGAAATGTTAAGTGGTTTCACCTTCACAGGCCCTCAGCCCTTCACTCAAGCCCATCATCTCTCCGACTTGTGATGTTCCAGTAGAACTTTCAGTTTTCTCTCCTTTCAAGCATCCTGTACTCTAGTAATACTGGACGAGCTGGTATTTCCCAAATCCAGCCTGTCCTTTCCAACTCCTGCCATTTTGTTCATGTCCTCTGCCCTTGGCGAGCCTACCGATGCTTCAAGTTTCACCCATTTTATCTTTCAGCATTCCCTGATCCTATAACCTACAGTCTCCATGGCATTCTTTTTTGCTTTTAACAAAATCCTGTTATGTCTTTGTTGCTATTGTTACCTCCCTCATGATACTCTAAATTCCTTAAAAAAGGATAATTAATTCATCTTGTAGCTTCTACAAGGTCAAAATTAAATTAGTAATAAGTTGCTGAATTAGTGATATAAAATATTCATAGACCAAAAACTCTCAAAAGAACATACAAGTGTTTTAGAAGTCTAATAATTCAACTATCCTCCATTCTGATTAATATGTTCCTCCTCCTGTTGATAGGAAGAAGCAATATGTGAGAACCCAGAAATTACTCTGTAGAGAAGACAAATCAAGACTGTAGCCTAGAAACTCTAGATACCACTTTTAGTCATCTGGGGAGGGCGCTTTACCCTGTTCTTTGTCTGCTTCCTCTGTAACTACTTACTTTTTACAAAAGTTGAGAAATGAGCTCTTGGTTACTTAGGTAGTATTAGATTGTTCAGAACACCTTTTCCTTAAAAAACACGGGTTGGAATATCTCTAGCCTCAGTTTAGCATACTTAGCAATGGTTTTCCTGATTTACACAATACCTACCAAATGCCAAAAGACATTATTTTCTGTTTAATTTCAAAAGCAACCTCCCCTTCCCCACGGTACCAGGAACTGAACCCATGACATTACAGAGGTGAGCACTTTACTCCTGAGCTGCATTCCTAGCTCTTAAAAAAGCAGAACTTTTCCTATTTTCACAGGTTTCTTTTTTTTTTTTTTTGGTACCGGGGATCACACTCGGATCCTTGCGCTTGTGCAGCAGGGGGCGAAACCACTGAGCTAAATCTCTGGCCCTTCACAGGTTTCTTTAAGGCTCTGAAACCATGGCCTCTGGCCACAACATAATCCTAATTTATATTTAAAAAAAAGGCGCATCTTAAGATGTGGTCTTAAGAGTAGAATATATTTACAGGGATGGTTTGTGATAGTCTCTATGAATAAAAAAGAAACCAAATTCAGATGGGGCGCACTGAAACAATAAAAGGCCATACAAAGTCTCAAAAAAGAGGAGTGTCTGGTTGAACACAAAGTTTAGAGAATTCTTAACTAGTGACATACGCCAAAAGCCTTACACTGTCTTGGTTTTCTAAGGCCCCTTGCTTCATTATTCTTCCCTTTAGCTCTTCTACTATCGGCTTTACTTTTCTCCCCGTCAACCCACTTGCTTTTATCTCCAGGCTTACATCAGAACTTAACAGAGGATTCACCTCAAGTCAGGGGCAGACCCTCCGCTCTGCTGACATAATTCCCAGATATGGTTTGCAGAATCCCTTTTTTACATTCTAAATTTATAATCTTATAAACAATACAAAGAATACAAAGTTTAGATCCGTGAGTGAGAACCAAGAATCTGCACTGCAGAATTTTTGCAGCTTTAAACCAACAAAAATAACGAGCGGGGTTTTGTCTTTTGCCAATCCACTTACAAAAAATTCTACGCACTGTAGGCAGAGATAATCTTTACAAAACAAAACTCGGTAACCAAAGGCAAGCCAACAAACCCAAGCATGCAGCTAGCTAGCACAGTAATTTTCTAGCGGTTGTTTTTCTGGGGGTATTTCCGTCGCAACGATCGGGCGAACCAGCCCTTGAACTCGAGTCTGTGCTTGCAGCACTTCAGACTTAGGTGACAGAATAAACAAGTTCTTTCTTTCCCCTTCAGTGGTCACGTCATCCACCTGTTGCATCACCTGGAAAGTGGCCTTCGGAATCTAGGGAAGGAGCAGCTAACGTGATCTCTAAATAATTCAGCCGGGCTATTTTCCTGATAAATTTTGGCCTCATTCATTTTCACGAGGTTGCCTTGGAGGCAAGGGTGTGCGGGCTCCTGTTCAGCTTTGAAAAGATTCTAGCAGAGGCATCGACAGCTGTGACTTTCTGGACTTAAGACGGGCTCGAGAGTTTGAAGACTTGAGCATCTAGAGAAACGCAGGGTTCAGTAGAAGCAGAGAGAGGAGCGCGAGCGCGGGCGATCGGGACGGGGAGAGCGGGGCAGCTGTGGGCCAGGTGGCGGAGGGGAGGTCGGAACCGCGACGGAAGCGCTGCAGAAAGGACACTGCGCGGACGCCGCCAGGGGCCGGGCCCGGAGCGGGTGCAGCCGACCCGAGCCTCGGCCGAAGCCCCGGGGCTGACAGGGTCGCGCCGGGCGGAGCGCCGCGGGCGCCAGGACGGGGAAGCCGGCCCCATCCCCTCCCCCACCCTGGGCGCTCAGCTGGGGGCGGGCAGCCCAGGAAGCGCCCGGGGCCGCACTCACCATGTCGTACACGTTGAGCACCACTAACTGGTTAGCCCCCATCCTCCTCTCCGCGGCCGCCGCCTCGTCCGCAAGCCGCTTGCTCTCGGCCGGGCCGAGGCCGCTCCCACCCCGCGGGCGCCTCGGGGGGCCCGAGCCGGGCACTACGCGTACAGCCCGGCCCGCCGCAGCCGAGGCGGAAGCATCGGGCAGCCGGGCCGCTCCGGGGCGCCGCACACAGAAGCCGGTGTGAGGTCGGGACCGGACCGGTGGCGGGCCCGCTCCGGCTCAGGCGCCTCCCCTCGGCGGCAGACACGTGGGGAAAGGCGGGGTCTGAGTGAGGGGCGGGCGCCAGGCGCCCCAGAGGCGGGGCCGGCCCGGCGCCGGGCTGCACTCGCCTGCGCTCTAGTTCCCTACTGCCGCACCTCGGGACTTAAAATGGCGACAGCCTCGGAGCCTCTCCGACCCAGAGGTACGAGGTCGCAGAAAAACTACAATTTCCAGCATGCAGAGCGGCGCCGAGGCGTAATCTCCACAGCCCTGTACTACAGTTTCCAGCATGCTCTGGGGTTCAGAGCCTCAGCAGTTGTCCCGGGAGACTACAGCTCCCGGCATGCGGTGCCTTAAATCGGCCGGCGGATGCTAAACTGTTCGTCCTTGGCGGGAGGTGAAGTCGTCCACCTTCAAGCTCGCGGCGCTGACTTTGGTGCTGTTAATTTATGCCTCGTTGAGCCTGGTGAAGCCGACAGAATGTGGCAAAAGACCAAAGTCATGACCCTAAGCCCCGCCCCCCCTTTATTTTGCTTATTTAATTTTGCAAAGGGAAGAGCGAAGAAATTGAGGAAGGTAGGATACTGGTGAAGGATGGGATGTAAGATGCATCCAGTTAATCCTCAATATAGAATTTATAAGATTACGCTGCTGAGATGGGAAGAGAGTACAGCATTCATGGATTAGCACAACCCACGGACACGTAAGGGGCTCGTCCATTCATTCAACAAATATTTGTGGTGTGTGTCTCATATGCTAAGCACCTTTCAGTGTAGGGGAAGGCTGGGGGGGGGGAACAACAAAATATCAGTGTATGTGCTTTAGGGAACATTAAAGAAGTGATTGAGAGTAATATTATATTGCTGCATAGAGGACTATGTAATGAGTTTTAAGATTATATCTGAATGACAGAAAATCCTGCAAATATCAGAGGGACAAATACGCCACTCAGAGAGAACAGAAGTGCAAAGAGCTGAGGCATGAAGAATTTTTTGGTATTCAAGGAAACAAAAGACTATGACAGGAAGTTAACAGACAAGGAGGCAATGGTGTTGTTGAGCAGGTAGTCAGAAGCCAGATTCTGGAAGAGCTTTTAAATTCATAATGGAGTTTAGATTTTAAGATATAGTAGGGATTGGGGTAGGGAGTGACATACGTTTGTGTGTGTGTGTGTGTGTGTGTGTGTGTTTAAAAGATTACTTGGGTTGCTGTGTGGAAAATGTAGAGTGGCAAAGGAGGTAGAACCAGGGAAATCAATGTGGTAGATTGTAAAAATAGCCAGTGGCCCAAATTATACATAATCTTTGGTAAGTGTCTCCCCTACTGAGTCTGTGGTGGCCTCAGACTTGCTTTGGCCAATGAGACATTAGTATACATGATGCAAGCGGACTTGAAAGGTACTTTCCAGTGAGAGGCTCTCCTTTTGGAGATCTTGGGAGTCTTGTGACCACATCAAATGAATGAGTCAAGTCTTCACCTATATCCCACTGACATCCAACCAACTGTGAAACTCCTAGACCATCCTGCCCTAGCCATGCCCACCCATCCAGATGAACCACCCACCCAACCCACAGATTGTGAGAAGCAGTTTTGGGGAAGGCAAGAACTATTTCAGAACTACATGCTAGAAGTGGTTTAGATTCTGAGTGGGGGAGACTAAGAAAGTTAGAATTGAAATATTTTGGAGGCAGAGTTTATAGAACTTGCTATTAGGTTGTATGTTGAATTTGGTAGGAGAGTCAAGAATAACTTCTAGAATTTTGATGTGGGCATCTGGATAGATAATGGTGCCATTTATAAGATGTGAAACATTAAACATTGTGGGGATGAATGAAATCGGAAGGAATGGTTTGATCATTTTATGTTAGAGATGCCTTGTACACATCCATGTGATGTAGACATCTGCATAAACAAACTAGTCATAGCTATTAAATAAGCTAAAATAGACATTAATAGAAATAGACTTTAAAGGCTTGGAACTGGCTGGATGACCTAGGAAAATGTGTAGCTCAGAAGAAATAAGCCAAGGACCGAGTTCTAATATCCTTCACCATTTAGAGGTCAAAGATGAAAGAGGAATGATATAGGCAGGAGGGAAATCAGAAAGAACACACAGTGACACAGAAGTCACAAGACTGCTGGATTGAGTGATCTTGTGTGAGCAATCTCACGGAGGAGTGGTTTTTAAGCAGTTGGTAAGAAAGGTTGTAGAAACAAATTAAAACGAGGAAATGGAGACAATTCTTAAACTTGGGGCAACTGTTCGATTAGGGCAGTGTAGTCCAGGGAGGGCATTTTAAAGCTGGGAGATACTGGGGCATATTTGTATGTAATGAGAGAGAAGTTGATTATGTATGGGAGAAAGGAGAGATTTTCAAGGTCAAAGAGAGGAGGACGAGGGTTCCAGGTTCCAGGCCTTTGGTTTGAGAGATGCTTCATAATGACAGCATAATAGGGACATGCAAGTATATAGTGATGACATAAAGGGAAGAGAGACATAGCAAGCTAGGAGCACTGGAGTGTGCAAAATGGGGGTGTTCTCTTTTGATTTACTTGGATTTTCTTAATGAATTGTGGGGCAAGGTGGTAGAGTGAGAGGTGAGGAGAATGGTATGAGGAGTTTAAGTAGGACTGACCTATGAGAGAAATTATCTGTTGTTCATTCAGTCATTGAACAAGTATTAAATGAATACCTTTTAGGTGTCAGCCACTGTGTATCACTAGTTCATCCATGAGAAAATGGACAGGATATCTGTCCTCAAGAAGTTGACAACCCAGAGAAAGATAGAATATAATATATATACGTGTGTGTGTGTGTATAAATATATATATCACTCATAAATTTATAATTTAAATCAAGAGACATCAGTAATAGAGGATACCAGGAAGATTTATTTGAGGTGGTTGTCAAGAGACAGATTAACTTAGAATTAAAACCTAGAGTATCAGCTGCCTCATTTTTAATATAACTTTTACATTTTATATATGAATCTACCATAGAAAAACTTCAGAAATCTGTTTAAGACAGGTTAAGTCCATGCATTTTGTGTGTGTGTGTGTGTGTGTGTGTGCCGGGGATCGAACTCAGGACCTTGCGCTTTTGAGGCAGGCGGTGGCACCACTGAGCTAAATCCCCAGCCCAAGTCTGTGCACTTTTATTGGTCCTTTATACACAAAGTCACTATAACCATATAAGGTTTCATATGAAAAGTTTTATGCAAAATAGCATTTGACATCTATATATTCTCAAAAATTTATTCTTAGGATTAGAGTAACCAAAGTTAGTTTATTTTTTAAAATGCTATATAAGAGTACATAGAATATCTATCTTTAAAATGAACATACAAATACATTAAGGATTGATTTAATAACATACAATATATGAAACTATTCCTGTTTGGGAGCAATTTAAGAACACTTCTGAAATCTTCAATTTGATAATATTAGGGGCTTGTAATTAATATTTCTTGGTCAAACACAATGTATCCATTTATGCCTAATATGTCTTTTGTTTTATGTGAATTTTCTGATATGGCTTATAAATACTTTTTTGATAAAGCTTCATATACTGGAAGTAGCTCAAGACTAGAATACTGATGAACAGCAGCATCATGACAAAGACGATAGCAGAGACCAGGTAGCCACTTGGTCTGAAACAGAAGCAGCAAAAAAGTTATCAGAAGTCATTGTTCTCACTTTGGTTCTTAGTTTCCTTAACCACGCAGGTTTTGAATAGCTGGCTACTATGCCTCTAGCCTGAAACAGAAACTAATAAGACATGGTGCGTATGTTAGGGCGTTTGAGTGTCTGGCGCTGGCCAGGGCAGAGAACAGTGTGATCAGTAAGCAGGAAGGAAGCATGAAGTTCTGCGGGAGCCATGTGTCACAGAGGGGGGAGGGCTGTCGCCATGCCTTGCAGGGGACCCTATTTTTAGCCAGATAAAAATGTCTGGGACCAGAGGGACCAACTGTGGTAGAGCAGTGTTGTAGGTATATGCAAGGTGATGGAAGCAGAAGGAAATTTTAAGATCTTTCTTGAATGTTCTAGAACTAAAACTAGTTCATGTGCCAGGTAGAGTGATGAGAAACAGGAACCAAAGGTGGGCAGAGGGGCTCAGGGTGCAGCTCAGTGGTAGAACTCCTGCCTAGCACCTGTGAGGCCCTGGGTTGGATCTCCAGCACTGCAGCTAAGAAACAAGCAAAAAAATGAGTGGACAGGGGCCAGATGAGACAGACTATACTAAGCTAGAGCCTAAATTTCAGCCAGAAAGTGAGGGAGGAGGGAGTTTCAGACACGTGATAGAGGGTAAACATTTGGAAGGATGATTCTGATGGTAGTGTGAGTGATCAATAAAAGGAGAGCACGAGTGTGAAGGCCAAAAACCCAGTGATAAGGTATATTTGTAATAATCCAGGTAAGTGATGATGTGGGTCTTGATTAAATCAGTGGCTGAAGAAATGGAGAAAATGGACACATCCAAGATACATTGAGGAGTTAGGTTGGATTGGCCTTGGTGATTGTTAAGCTGTAGGATTTGAGAAATAAGGAATAAAGGTTGTTACCTAGGCTTTGAGGCTAGTTCAATATGATGACAATGCACTGAGAGGAAATCCAGAGGGGAGAACTTCTCCTCCGCCTTCTCTTCCTCTCCACCTCACAGATGGGGTCTTCCTCTGTTGCCTGGACTTAGTAGCTGGGACTGTAGGGACACGCCACCACACCTGGCTTGGAGCACTATTTGTGTGTGTGAATATGGTTGATTTATGAATTTCAGACACCTGAGGATCAGCCAGGTTTGTGTGTGTGTGTGTGTGTGTGTGTGTATAGCACTTAGCACTCTCAGCTGAGTGCCAGGCATCTACCTCTTCACCCAGCACTCTGCATAGCTGCCTCCCCTTGGAGACTATTTCATTCTTAGGCCAACACTTAGCTGCTGCTGCTGCTGCTGTTATTTGTTACCCAGTATTGGATGTTAATTTTGATTATCTTTTGAACCATAATTATTGGTTGAAGTGTTACAGTTTTCCAAGTCACTTTAACCCAGTGTTTCTCCTCTGTGGCTATAAACATGACCTAGCTTCAGTGAATGGCTTCCTTTTTTATAATTTAAATAGCATAACTGTCTGCTATCTGTCAAGCATGGTGCAAGGTGTGGACAATACAGTGATGAGTAAAAATAGCCATGGGCCCCATCCTTAGGAATCTTACATTTTAGTGGGGATATAATAAATAAGCAAATAACGATAAACCTAAAATTGCAAATTATGATAAGGAGAGATATGCAATGCAATGAAAGCTCATTGTAGCAGGATTTAACCTGGTGAATGGGGTCATGAAATGCCTTCATTAGTAAAAGATAATTATCCCAGTATCTGAAGAATAAGTAGAAGTAAAGTTGGTCAATTTAAGTAGTAAAGAGAAAAGCAGAGAGTCCAGATAGACATATAGTGTGTGCAGAGGTCCTGCTGTGGGACAGAGTATAGAGCTGGCTGGGGACTGAAAGAAGGTTGGTGGGTCTGGAGCTGAGGAAACAGTGCGGACACAATCTAAGATGAGGAGAAGTAGGTCGCGGCTAGATCATAAGTCCTTCTTAGGTCATATTATGGAATTTTACTTTTATGGAGAGAAACTTAATGGGGTTGAAGCTACTAGAATTAGCATTTTGAAAATATTGCTCTGGCTCTTGTGAGAATGAGAAAGAAAAAAGTAGGAGTAGAAGAGGGGAGTTCAGCTAGGAATTTGTTTCAGAGATACAAGTGGTAGCTTGGATAAGAATGATGGTGGTTGTTGACAAGGGGACCCATTCAAGGACTACTTAGGAGAGCAAATGAATGGGAGCCATGGTGGTTGGGTGAGTAGCTGTGGATCTCCAGTCACTGCCTGTGAAAGGGGCTCTCTTACTGGAAGACACTCACCACCAGCCAACCTGTTTGGCTCTGGTACCCTTTGGGGTCGGCAGAGGCTAAACCGTGGCCACTAACCTATGCGGCACTCTGTGGTTGCCCTGGCTGCTGGATCAAGCTGAGTAAATAGGGGCAAACAGGCGAGAGCCTCCTCACTTAGTCTTCCTCCTCTCCTTCCTCCCTTGGACGGACATACTACTCTCCATACTCAACCCCATCAACAATGCCAACCTAACGAGGAAGAGAAGTTGCTGCAATATATTAAACATGTTTCCCCAGTTACCTTAGAAACAACTCTTTGGTTATTTCGTTTAGAAGTTATTCATACCATTAACCTTCCATAGCATAAAAAAATCAAGGCATCAGTAATATTTAAAGTAAGGCCATGAACAACTTGTCTTCTATTTTATTTTTTGGTCCTGGGCCTTGAACCCAGAGTCTCATGAATACTAAGCACGTGCTCTACCACTAGAGCTACACCACCAGCCCTTGTTCCCTGTTTTTCATTTTCCTTTAACATTTTACAAAAAAACCCAGAACAAATAAAAAACACCCCAAGACATCAGGCCCTGAGGTCCTGACTTTAATCTTGTTGTTGTTAAAAGAGACACAAGAAGGATTTATTAGAGGGGGATTTAGGGTGCACTCAGATCAGAGTGCGGTGCTCAGAGAAATGAAGCGCCCCTAACTGTAGTCTGGAGGCACTTTCATCTGTTCTCCAAAGTAATCGGAACTGAGTCAGGGAAATGTCTCCACTGCTTGTTTCCTGGGCACACGACAATGATTTCATAGAGAGCAAAAAAGAAATCGACTGACTTTGCAATGAACACTTCATGCAAGTTTTAAATCTGATTTTGTTTTTAGGATTCGTTTAAACTTCATGCCATATAGTAATGTTTTATATGATAGGATTTACATTGGGGATCCCACATAGTGAGTGTATAGGCTTTGTTTTGGGAGGACACTGGGGTCCATTTCCTATTGAGCTGCTGTTTATATATTTTAGAAATTCCTTCATGCCTCATGAGGTACTTCTCATTACCTGGGAATCACTCCAAAGATCTCTATAGCAAATATAGCTGTTAGGTTACAGAAACTGCAATTAGAAAAAAATAGTATTAAAGGTTCAATTAAATATATTTAAAACTGCTTCTATATCTCTATGGTAACAATCAAATCAAATATAATCTTAGGGTGTCATTTATTGAGAAGGGATAGAATAGACCCATTTATTTAACAGCTATGATTATTTTTCTGTACATCTTAGACTACTATGAGATTCCTTAGAGGTTAGTAACACAGTGTCCTCACAGCATTATTTTATTTTAATAGTGGCTCCAAGGCAACAGTAATAGTGAGATCTATCTGTCTATCTATCTATCTATCTATCTATCTATCTATCTATCTAATTGTGACCAATAATAAGTATTGACAGAAGTAATACACAGTTTATTGGGCATTAATATTTAGTGAAAATGAAAATGCTAATTGAGCATTTGCTATGTACTGGGCAGTGTGCCAAATTCTTATATTCATTATCTTAGTCGATCCTTTTAGATGAGGAAACTGAGGCTCAGACATATTATGCAACTTGCTGAAGTTGCCACAGTTGTTTGGATAGCAGAGCTGTCATTTGAATTCAGGTTTTTCTTGTCCTGGACCCCATGAAGTTCACCTGAAGCAGAGTGACTCCTTTGGGGAGGCTGCAAATCTTAGGGACTTGATATATGGAATGGTATTATCGTGCCTAAAATTACCAAGTCTCACTCAAACTTAGCATATTATTTGGAATGAGGCAGAAGATGGCTAAGTAAACATGATGCAGTTTTACTTACCTTCATGTGGGGGAGGCAGAAGAAAGGAGTTTACTTTTATTGAGTATTTTCTATGTGCTTAGCTTACTATGTGGTTAGCTTCATTTACTTCTCAGAATAGATAGGGACTACTGACCCATTTGACAGATATAGTCATAAAAAGGCCTAGAAATTTGCTTAATTTTGAATTTTACTTTGATCAGAACAAGGAAGGGATATATATTATGCACTGATAAAGAAGATATAATAATCCTAAATGTGTATTTACCTCAAACAAAGAAAATACATGACACAAATACTGGTAGAACTAAAAGGAGAAATAGATAAATCCTTAATTATAGTTGAAGACATCAGCATTCCTCTCTCAGAAATTGATAGGAAAAGTAGACAGAAAATTGGTATTAAATTAAATAAAAATTGAGATGTCAGAAATCCCTTAGTATATAGGAATAAATCTAATGGCTTAGGGAAAGAAAAACATTGAAGTGAATTTGTCAGATGTGAGTTACTCATCTACACTGAGGGAGGGCCCAGAAGAAACTCCATTCATCATGGCAATGGGAGCTACATCGACGTCAGAAACACCGACATTTAAAAAAGTGTTTTATGGCTCTTTTCTGCCATTGAAATGGGTTCTTTAATTTCAGTAAAGATGGAGGGATCCTATACAGTATAGCAGAAGCAAAATAAACTAATTAGAGATGAAGGATGCATAATTACCCCTAGTGAAAACGGGCCTTTAGTACTTGTGGTTGTCAGTACTGTCGCTTTGTTGGATTGAGAGATGCCTAGGAAATTACTTGTGGCAGACCACAGTGACCAGAGTCAAAGCAGGCTGTATATGGAGCAGGCATTTTCCCCCTCATCATTGGCTGTAACGTACTCAAGCCCATGGGACTCACAGGAGCACAACGGTGCCGCAGGCGAATATAGCTTCCTCGCCAGTGGCTGCAGCTGAGGTCTAAGTCCTGATCTGTGAAGCAGCAGGGCTCCTGGTGCGATAACACAGCATCCGAGGATCTTGTGGCTCCAATCCACGTTCCATCCCGGAGCTGCCCATCCCTTAACTGTTTTCAGTAACTTACTAATCAACCATAACTGACCTTTGGTCAGTTCCGCTCCTTCTACAAGTATGCCCAATCCTCCTTTCTACAAGCCCTGCCTGTGTCAACTGATATCACTGGATGCCATATGAGTCCCTCTACCCTATTCTTATCCATGCCTCTATAATCAGTAAAGCAGTAAATACTGACCGACCTGGCTGCTTGTGGTCTTCACCACATGCTCGGCCTCCTCGCTACATGTTCAGTGTGGCCCATTCCAGATCCCCGCTATCTGTTTAGGTCTTGTTTCTGTGTCTTTTTTTTCTTTCTTCTCTCTTCCTTTCTTTCCTTCTTGGCTGCTTGCTTGCTTTCACTTTGTGTTGTATTACCTTGTAGGAGATCGGAATTCTTGGCCGTGGCCTGGATAATTACTAAAGCACATTGCTGGGTGTGTCTGTGAGGGTATTTTCAGAGATAATTGGCATGTGGGACAGCAAACCAATGGGAGAGACCTGCCCTAAATGTGGGCAGCACCATCCAGCTGGTCAGGTGCCCAGGTAGAGCAAAAGAGGAAAGGAGGAAGCCCACCACACGTGCTCCTTCACTCTCCCTGCATTCTGCCATGAGGTGAACCACTTTGCTGTACCACATGCTCCCTACCATAATGTGTTGCTTCATCCAGGCCCAGAAACAATGGAGCTAAGTAATCATGGATTGAAATCCCTAAAACCCATAAGCCAAAATAAACCCCTCCTCTGTTAAATTATATGTTGTTATGATTTATGACTAGATGTCTCCCTAAAGCCTCATGGGATCATAGGCAGGACTTTTGGAAGGTGATTGGATTACTGGGACATTATAGCTGACTTGCTGTTAGAAGGTGGAGCCTGGTTAGAAGAGGAGATCACTGTGGGTGTGACCCAGAAACTCATACATTCTTTCTGGGCTCCCTCGATCCTGTCGGCTTCCTGCCCACCATGCTGTGAGCAGCCCTCCTCTGCCATGCCCTTCTGCCATGTCACCCTGCCTTGGAACCAGCAGACTAGGGCCTGAAAACTCTTGAAACTGTGAGCTAAAATAAACATCTCCTTTAAATTGCATGTGTCAGCTATTGTGTCTCAGTGATAAGGAAAGTAACTAAGATATATATATATATATGTCACCATATATATAGTCACTATCTCACACACACATGAGCAGTGCTCTAGATTACTTGACTTCTACAAAGAAAGTAAATCTGGTGCACAGAGGGCTGAGATGAGGCATCATAATAGAGGATCACATACTTTTGCCTAATTCTCACACCTAAGTCCGATGACATGGCTGGAACAGCTTGAATTTCTTTTTTCTTTTTTTTTTTTTTGGTACCAGGGATCGAACTCAGGTCCTTGCGCTTTCGAGGCAGGCAGTGGAGACACTGAGCTAAATCCCTGGCCCAAGGAACAGCTTGAATTTATGGGAATTCTTGAGAAAGAAAACCATGAAAACAGCCTATGTATCTTGTCTAAAATCTTCCTCCTAGTTTTCCCTCTACAAATTCCATGAGTTGTAAGTTGCATGACACAGTTTTGAGAATGAAAGACAAGTTGCTGCTCCTTGTACTCCCTACCACAGAAAAGGACTATATGGTGTGTGTTTGTGTGTGTGTGGGTGTGTGTTTCCTACTTTGGATTTTGGAGATAGCATGCACCACACTTCGCTGTGCTTCTCCAGTAATTAAGAAGGAACTGAAAGCCACCCAGAATGGGACCCAGGGTGAAGAGTTTTTCCAGATGGTCCAGGTAATGCAAATAGTCCTGGGACTACTCTTACGACCTAACAGATCTAAAGGTGCTTGATGTGTTTCTGGCAGGTTAGGAAGTTGTATGACTGTGGATGTTGTGATAGGGAATATCAGCAGTCTCCTCTACAGTTCTAAAGTAAATGCAAACATTCTTTGTCAGGTTTTTCTAAGAAACAGCATATGGGGAGGGCTTTGGTAGAAAATAAACTTCTGACTACATAAGACCAGGTGCCTATGAAACCTGGGATGCCAATTATCAATTGTTATCTCTAACATCATAAAGCTAGCAGTGCTCAGCTGAACTCTATCATTAAATGCAATAGCTTATTTGTAGTTCCACTTTGCCTAGACATGGGGATTTCTTTATGACTTCCCTGATTATAAAAAAAAAGATTTACAGATTGCTCTGAATATAGCTATGGATAGCAGTGGCATTATAGCTCTATTCAGAAACAGTCTTGAAGAACAATAGAGAAGAGAAAACTTCCTAGTATAATGTTAAGTAGGATATATTTTTCAACTTTTCCTAAGAGGAGAGATGATCTGTGGCCTAATCATGGTTAGGGACTAAATGTTTGTATACATGGCCAGGACTCATAAGGAGTAAGAATTGATGAGAGGAAACTCTAGAGAAAAGGTATATAAATGAACTTCTTGGAGTAACAGTAGAGTATTAGAATATTTGGGTCTCCCATGAATGTTTATCAAAAGAGATTCATTAGAGAGGAGGCTTTTAGTTTGTCAGTTGGCAACCATATGGGTAGCCTCTTCCCTCAGCTACCCAAATGCTTGCTCATTAGGTTTATAAATAATGTGACTATGGTGCCTAGATTTCTCCTCACCAAGGCTGGATACCACCACTGCAAAATATCATATTGCCAGCAACAGCAAACCGACCTTAATCCTTCCATAGAAATACTCATCCAGAGGTATCAGACAGCCACCTGGTAGCAGATTGATTATACCACTGAGGGGTTGGTGATTCATTCTTCCTGTGACATGTTGGGGATCTGAATTTGCATTTATTATGTAGTTTCTGCCTGCAACACTGTTCATAGACATTCTGGATAGCATATACAAGGGGTGATAGAATAATACAGTGAATATATACATTTAAGAAATTTTATTATAGTGAAAGGCACATTGCTATTCATCTCCCTCAAAATACTTCCCTTGCTAACACATAGATCCCATTGTTCTTTCTGATTTCTGAAGCAGTTCTGGAAGTCCTCTTTCATGAGTGTCTTTATGAGGTCTGATAAAAAAAAATCAATGCTGTTGCCAAGTGCTATCCAACAGAAAGGCGAGGCTATAAAACCATCACAGTGGGTCCTCATTCACCTTATTCACTGGATCTTGCACCATGAAAATTATGGCTCTTCCCAAAGACAAAATAACCAAGAAAGGTAAATGTTTTGAATCAATTCAGGGCATCAAGGCAGCCACAACAGAGCAA